GTCCTCACCAGACCTGCATCTCACAGAGCATAGTCATGGGGACAGTCTCTTTTTCTCTGTCCTTGCATGAGGGTGGCAGTCACGTTTGTGGCTTTCTTTTGAACCTACATTCCCTGCTAGGACAATGTCTGAAAACATTTGTTCCACCATTTTCCAGCTTCCTGTTGTCTGCATTCTGTTTCTCAGGATAAACTATCTTTGACTTACAAGCCCACTTGGGTTGGATTAGTTGACTGATACTTCTAAATGGTTTCTGTTTCATCAGGCTTCTGTCTTTTTCATTGGGCTTCTGGCTTTTTTCTGTAGTGCTTGGGATTGAACTCAGGACCTCACCCGTAATAGGCAACTACATTACCACTGAGCCACATCCCCCTGCCCTCTCCAACCTTTTCATTTGCAAGTCTTGCTAAGCTGCCTAGTCTGGCCTTGGACTTACAGTTTTCCACCTCAAGCCTCTGCAGTGCTGGGATCCTGGACATGATGCACTACTATACCTGGCTTTCTCGTCTGTTTTTTTTTTTTTTTTTTTTTTTTTAATTAATTTATTTTTTTTTAGACAGTGTCTTCCCTTGTAGTTCAGACTGACCTTGAATGTAGCTGGGGCTGGCCTTGAACTCATGGTAGTCCTTCTGCTTTGGCCTTCAGAATGCTGGGATTGCACAAGTGTACCACAATGCCAGCTCTAGCCTATTAGTAAAAAGGCTTTTCCCAAGTTAGGAATTACAGGGAAAGATTTTGTTATAATCAGCTTCTTCTTTATGATCTTTTGGTATAAACCTTGTTTTAAAATTGGTGTTTTTTTTTTTTTTTTGCAGTGCAAGGGATTGAACCCAGGGCCTCACAAATGATATATGAGTGCTCTTCCACTCAGGTTTTGTTTTGTTTTTGGTACTGGAAATTGAACTCAGAGTCTCACACTTGCCAGGCAGGTGCTGTGCCACTGAACTATATCCCCAGCCTCCACTGAGTTATTTCTAATGTATTCAGGAACAACTGAGGTATTTCTGATGTGTTCATTAATTTCTCAAATCAATATTTGAGAGCCTGCTGTTCGCCAGGCACTCTTGTAGCACTGGGGATGTGGTAAGGAACAAAATAAAAAATCAGAATCTTCCTCTCACAGAGCTGCTTGCTGATTATAGGTTTATAGAGAACAAACAAGAAAATATTAACTATGGTAATGAAAAGTATACATAGAAAAATAAAGCCGCAAGGACAGGTTTTCCACTTTAAATAGAGACATGAAACCAGCCATGTGGCACATACCTGTGATCCCTGCATTCTTAGGCTGAGACTAAAGGATTGTAAATTTGAACCTAGCCTGGGCAGTCTCGTGACTTATTGAGACCCTGTCTCAATAGTGATGCATACCTATAATCCCAATATTCAGGCGGAGGCAGGAGGATTGCTGTGAGTTTGAGGCCAGCCTGAACTACATAGGGATACCCTATCTCAAAAACTCAAAAATAAATAAAAGCGAATGAATGGATGGATGGACTGGAGGCTAGAAATATAGTTTGGTATGAAGGCCCTGAATTCAGTCCCCAGTAGCAAAAAAAAAAAAAAAAAGGAAAGAAATAAAGAAAACAGCCCAACAAAGTTCAGGACCAGCCTGGGCAACATATCAAGACCTTGTATCAAAATAAAACAGAGAAATTGGAGAAATCTCATTGACCTGTGCAGCCAATAAAAACACACCACTCAACCATTGAGAAAGGTACCCGGCTCATTAGGTAAAGATCAAAGCAAGATGCAGGACATCTGTGTGTGCATTCACACTGATCTGTGCACATGCCTGTGGGCAAGGGGAGGTGTTTCTCCAATAAGTATATATTTCTCAATTCTGTGTTGGATGGAGCTTGAAGAGTGGCTTTTCCTGTAATTGTTTCTTTAATGTAAAACTATAGCAACTGCTATATATTATTACAATTTTGGGGGGGGGGGCTTAAGCCAAGATTTTGCTGTATAGTTCAGGCTAGTTTTGAACTCACTACCTACCCCAGGCTGGCCTTGAACTTGTGACAGTCTTCCTGTTTCAGCCTCCTAAGTGCTGGGACTGCAAGTGTGCCCCTCCACACTTGGCTGTAACTTTTGGTTTTTTGGTCTTTTTGAGACAGGATCTCACTATGCAGTTCAGGCTGGCCTTGAATTCACTTTGTAGTCTTGGCTGGATTTGAACTAACTTCCATCTCCAGTTTTAGGGTCCTGAGTGTTGGGATTACAGGTGTGTGTCATCATGCCCAGTTTGTAACTTTTGTAGCTTTTTAATAAAGGAAAAATAAGAGCTTTTTAAAAAGACAAGGCTGGGTGTGGACTCCTGTAATCCCAGCATTGGAGAGGCTGAGGCAGGAGGGTAGCAATAAATTACAGGCCAGTCTGAATTACATAGTTAGTTCAAGGCCAGTTTGAACTACAAGGAGAGAGGCTCTCTCAAAAGACAAAACACTAGAGTAGAGATCTGAAGGAGGTCTGCAGCCATGGGACTAGCTGAGGGAAGAGTGGTCCAGATGAGAGAGGATCAAATACCCAAGCCCTGGAGGCAGAGAGTAATTGAGGTGGTTGACTGCGGAGTTCTGTACAGGCCTGACCTAAGGAGGTTGGCTGCCCTGGAGGTCTGGGGTCAGGGCTCTCACAGCTGACCCAGGTCTGGTCTGGTCTGGTTTGGTTGAGTCTTGTTTTGTCTCTTTTCTGCTAGTACTGGGATTGAACCCAAGATACTCATAGTGAACCACATTTCCAGTCCCCCATTCCCCTACCATTTTGAGACAGGATCTCACTAAGTTGCTTGGTTTGGGCTCAAACTTGTGGTCCTACCTCAGTCTCTCAGCCAAAGTGTTTCTAATGTGCACCCAGGGCTGAGAATCATTAGTTGAAGGGTTGAACAAGTTCTTTGCTTAGTATTTGGTTTAAATGGTAACTGTGAGTAAGAAGACTGCAGCCCCATTTCCATGGGGAGGCTAAGCCAGTGCCTCATGGACCTGCAGGAGGAACAGGAATCTCCCACGGTGGTTGTCCTTTTTGGTTTGTGCCTTTTCTGCTCCAATTGCTTCCCCTCTGAACCCCAGATTCCTTGTTTGTGGAGTGAGTGGCTTGAACTGAATGGTTTGCTATAGTCTCTTTGGCTCTGATAGGCCTTAATGTTTCTGGTGCTGGAAAACCTAATCTGAAATTAATATTCTAGAATGGCATTTTCTAATCCTGGTCTTACAACACACTAAGGTGTGTCATAATGGTGACAAGGGTACCCTGAATGTCTCAATATCAGATTGAGGGGACTTGGTGCCATATCCAGTAGCACCCTGGCATAGGAGGGTGTTGAGAAACGGGAGATGTAAACACTGCCTTCCAGTGCACAACTTAGTGTGCAGGGCAGCTGTCCTGGCCCTGGGCATGCAGGCTGAGTGCTTCTACATGCTGCTGTATGTAGTCTTGAAGGCTCCTTTCAAGATGGAGCAGTGTGCTGTGACTATAAAGTTGTGCACTGCTTCTGGGTGGGAGCAGTGTGGGCCCTGTGTGGCCTCTATAGGAGCCTGAGCTTAGGATCCTCAGCCTTGTCTCTATGTGTGCTGCCTAGGAGAGGCTCTCTTGCCAGCCTGACTGCCCCATGGCTGGGCCACCAGCTTACCCTGGAGCAAATAACCAGAGGCAGCTGTGGGAGCATTTCAGGACTTAGTTACTATTGGACAGCAGACCTCAGACACCCCTTGGCCCCTGGTCTTTGCCTTTTGTCCTCATTTAGACATTACAGTGTCTGCTTGTTAATGTTTTAAAATGTGAAGATCCCAGCTGGGCACACCTGTAATCCCAGCATTTTGTGGGACTGAGGCAGGAGCATTGCAAGTTGGAGCCCAGGCTGGGCAACCTTTGAGACTCCGTTTCAAAATAAAATGAAAAGAGTTGGGGCTGTATGCAACTAAGCGTGAGTCTCTTGAGTTTAATTTTCCTAGTACTGACAAAGAAACCAAACAACCAAACCCCACCCCTCCCAAATTAGAAATTCAAGGAAAGAGACCTTTGCTTTTGTCATTTATAAGTTCATGTACCTGATAGACCATTAACCAGAATTGGGGTTGTTTTGTTTTGCTTTGTGGTACTGGGAATTGAGCCTAGGACCTTCACACTGAGCTAAATTCCCAGAACTTTTTATTTTATTTTATTTTTGAGACTAAGTTGCTAAATTGCCCAGCCTGGGCTCTAGCTTGCAATCCTTCTGACCCAACCTCCCAGAGTGTTGGAATTACAGGTGTGTACCACAATGTCAGCTTTCACTGATGTTGGTGAACACTGTCCAGGGCAGTTTCAATCTCATGTGGTGGTGAAGCACTTTGCCAAAAGAGATTCTCAAGTTCAGCCGTGTTTGAAGAACACCTAGTTTAAAATAGTGGATTTGGCCAGCTTTCTCTATATTACCTCTCGGTCTCATTGCCCACTCATGTTTGTCTTCTCTGTCCTCTCTGGAACCTGTGATCCCACTGCTTAGCTGCCCAGCTCTGTGCCTGGCCCTCTGCATCCTCAGCTGTTCTGGGGGTTCTTGAGTGCTGTAGAGGAGCTGTAGATTAGGTAGATTAGGCAGGACATCCCTCGCCCCATATCAGGAAATGTGAGAGGGAAGCTTGCTGGCTATGTGGAAGACACATGCCTTTGCTGAGTGACAAGTAGTGTGGCCAGAGGTTTACACATAGTGACTCCTCCCTCAACCTCTGTAAGAGCCCAGGGCACAAACTCGCCCAAGGTCACGCAGCTGGCGAGCAGTCAGCTGGGTGCTGAACCCAGGCAGGCTCTGGGCGCTGAGCCCAGTTGGGGGAGGGGGAGGTATGGGCCGGGAGGGGTTTGTCCTTGACTACCTTTGGGGCTTGCGTTGAGTTTATGTTTGGAGATTTTCCAGAGGGTCTTACCTACACTGCTATGAGTATAATTAGGGTTTAAACTGTCTTTTTCTTTACTTTAACATTTGCTTTCAAATCCATTTTAAAAACATTTTGTTTTTCTTCTTTCCGTAGGTGGTGTTTGGACACTAGACCATGTGCCTAGGTAGTTTTTTCTTTCTCTGCAGCTCTGCTCCCCCAGCAACGCTCACCACACCCTTGTTTTGAGAACCTCACTAAGGTATGATGCCTAGGCTGACCTGAGCTGGCCTTGAAGAGCTGAGTGTGGACACAAGAGAGCTTTTCTGTTCCTTGGCTTGGTTTTGTTTTGGTGGTAAAAGATATACAAGAAAATTGATCATTTTAAGCATAGAGGTCACTGTCATTGAGTGCTTTCAGAACTGTGCTGCCCTAAGTCCCACCATTTCCAGAACCTGTCATGTCCCCTCACAATTCTGAACCCAAAAGACGGCTGCTCCCTGCCTCTCCCACACCCCGGGTCCCTACCATCCAATTTGCTGTCTGAATTTGCTTATCTAGGGATGTCATATGAGTGGACTTATTCAATCTGTATCTCTGTATGTGGCTCATTACTTAGCATTTTATCATCTCCATGTTACAGTGTCAGAAATGTTTTCTTCTTATTTTTCAGGGCCTCATGCAGGTTAGGCAAGTGCTGTACTGCTGAGCTATAATCCCAGTGCCTTCCTTTCCAAGACTTTGCATTTGTATTTATCTGGCATCTGGTTTAGCTCTGCATGCAGGATACTTGAGTTCTTCTACCTTTGGGGTATTGTGCCTCGTGCTGCTGTGAACAGGGACATGCCAATATTTTGAGAGCCTGCTTTGGTTCTTTTGAGTGAACCCAGAAACACAGTTATTGGGTCATGACCCTTTCTTTTGTTTTTTTGGGACAGGGTCTCGCAAGGTAGTTTAGGCTGGCTTCAAATTTACTGGGTAGTCCAGACTGGCCTAAAACACGTTGGCAATACTCCTGCCTTAGTCTCTGACTGCTGGGATTACAGATGTGCCACCACACCCAACACATGTCATTTTTTTGTTGTTGTTGTTGTAGTTGTTTTTTTTGTTTTTTTTTTGTACCAAGGATTGAACTCACGACCTTGTGCTTGCCAAGCAGGTACTTATGCTGCTGAGCTAAATCCCCGGCCATCATTTTCTTTTTTAATTTTCAACGAAACTGCTGTACCTCCATAGTAATTATAGCATTTTGTATTTCCTCCAGCAGTGCACAAGGATTTCTCTGTTTCATATTCTTGCCAACAATTGTTATTTTCTAGTTATGAAAACTACCTGTTGAGTGTGACTGTGATAGTTATCTCACTGGATCCTGGGGTCTACTAGCCAACAATTGAGTCCTTAGGTCCCAAAATTCACAAATGAAGAAAATTCTACTCTGACATAGGCTCCATGTACTCCTCCTCAAGTTCAACAGTTAACAATTCTGGCAACCTCCTGTTTCATTTATTTGCTCTTTTTCTTCTCCTCCTATCCAGCGTTATTTTGAGGAAAACCCCAAATATCACATCGTATTATCTATGTATCTTTAAAAGATGAGATTTTTTTTTTTTTAAATGGGGGAGGTTATGGCTATGCTGCGCTTAAAGTGATCCTCCTGCCTCAGCCTTAGGAATAGCTGAGTCTACAGGTGGGTGTCACCATGCCTGGCTAAGAGCAAGACTCTCAGTGTTGTTTTTCATCTGAGGATGGAAAGGCACTGTTGCAACAGACCTTTGGATGGAGTACACCCCTGCTGTCCATTGCTGTGGTCCAGCAGGGACCTGGGCAGGGCACACATGGGAGGACAGAAGGGTATTCGCTCTGCTGCCAGCCAGAGTTGGTGGTGTAGGGCTTCTTGGCAGAGGCCCTGTGGTTCTGCAGAAGGCTGAGCGCCTGAGGCCTGAGCAGTCATGGTGGGAGGCTCTAAAGCTCTGTAGAGAGGAAAGAGGAAGACATGGTGATGGAGAAAGCGCGTAGAAAGGAGACAGTTGTTCTCTGGTTGTCTTTCAGTGGTGTACAAGTGGCAGTATGTGCTGCACCCCCATTGCATTGGGGTCCTTTCCTTTTTGCTGGGCACTGCAGTGAGCTGTAGCTCCCAGCCAACCATGAGATCACCAAGGGGAACCATTGTCCTTTTGGCTGTGTTTTGCTGCTCTTCCAGAGCACTCCATCCAGACTGCATAACTTTTAAACAGTACACATTTATTTGGGCGACGGTATTAGAGGCTGGGAAGTCCAAGGTGGCTGCATCAGCTGAGGATCTTCCTACTATCATTGATGGAAAGGTTAGTGGGCATGCATGTGAGACAAAATCTAGCTGAACTCTCCTTTTCATCAGGAACTATACTTGCCTTTATTAATCCATTCTTGAGAATGGAACCCTTATGGCCTTATTGCCTCTCAAAAGTATCCCCTTATGCTGTCAGGATGGTGATTGAATATCAACATGATAGCTAGCTGAGAGCTAGCTATCTGGGAGGCTGACACAGGAGGACACAAATTCAAGCCCAGCCCGGGCAGTTTGGCAGCTGAGGGAGATCTTGTTTCTAACTAAAAATAGGAATAAAAGTAAAAGAAAATAAAGGGTTGGAGTTGTAGCTCAGGGCGAGGGCCCTGGGTTCAACCTCCAGCATCCAAAAAACAGCAACAATGATAAAAAACATGAGTCTTGAAGGAAACGTTTAAACCACAGCAGTAGGATAGGTATATGAAATCCATTATCAACTTAGGAAATTTTTAATTTGCAGAGTTTCATGCAAGCATGACCCCATGGTATAGTGAGGAACAGCTGTGTACATGTGTAGGGGAGAGGAGGAGGAGGGGAACGTGAGGTTAGGGAGGCTAGCAGAGGCTCACCTCTTACTAGCCCTTTGCTGCACCAGCTCCTCATTCCTGTGCTGATCTGAGGCTACCACTGAGACCTCAGCACTTAACTGTGCATCTTGGAGAGTTGTTGGGATGATCGTCTGCTTATGGCAGACACAGTTGGTGGCAGCCTCAGAGTAGCATACATGGGCTACCAGAGAGCGATCCTGAGGAGAGCCCACTTCTGGGGCTGGAGGTTTATTCTTACCAGATCAGAAGGTTTGCTTCTGGCTTTGATTTGGGGGTGCCCATGAACCAGAAGTGATGCTATTTTATGAGCTCCCGTGCGAGAGCTGCTCCCAGGATAGCCTGTGAGCAAGAGGGGCCTGTGCTGAGATCTGTGTGCTAGCAAGGCCCAGGGAGAGGGTGATGGAGGATGAGGGCCATTTTATCTACGACTCAGCTGTGTAGATGTTGCTACCTATTCCTAGTTTCTGCTTCTCCTTCAGCTTCATAGTCCTGCATGAGTCTTGTAGTTGTCTTTGCCTTTAGTATGATAGTTTTTTTTTGTTTGTTTGTTTTGGTTTTTTTTGGAGGGTCTCTCTATGCAGTTCAGGCTGCCCTTGAGCTCATTTTGTAGCCCAGGCTGGTCTTGAACTCACAACGATTCTCCACCTCAGCCTCCCGAGTGCTGGGACTACAGGCATGAGGCCACCACGCCTGGCTAATGTGACCGTTTTTTGAATAATTCTCATGTCATACAGTTTGCTCATTTAAAGTGTGTGATCAGAGGTTGTTAGTTGTTCACAGGTTTATTTTTCTGCTGAAGAAGCGCATGGTACCCATAGTGTACCTTTTCTCTCCACTAGTGTTGAACTGACTTTACCCTTATTGTGGACATTTACCTGTAAGACATCTTCCATTGATAAAATAATTAAGCTTAATCAGCTTTTGCCAGGCTTAAGAGGCTGAGGCAGGAGGATCTCTGCAAGTTTGAGGCCCGCCTGAGCTACATAGTGAGTTCAGGGCCAGCCTGAACTACATAGTAGGGCCCTGTCTCAACAAAACACCCAAGAGCAAGATTATAATCAGCTCCTAAAATGGCCCGGGATTCATAGACCAGGGCTGTTTAGTCTCTTTCTACTAGTGAGGCTTCCCTCACCTTGGAAGGTCTATTTATAAAAAGTTTAAAGGGGTTGTCATTGTAGGCTTGTGAGAGTGTGTATTTAGCAACACAAGGACCTCGGCTCAACCCATAGTACACACACGTGTGTTGTATATACAGATGCCCATGCACACATGGTATTATTTGCTGGTTTGCATTTTTTTCTTTTCTTTTTGAGACAAGGTCTTGCTATATAGTTCAGGCTGGCTTTCAGCTTACTATGTAGCCCAGGTTAGCCTTGGGCCTACTGTGATCTTCTGCTTCAGCCTCCTGAGTGCGGGGATTATAGGCCTGCCTGGCGACACACAAAAGAGTTTTTAAGGCTAAACACAAATCAGTAAGCCTGCTTGAAAATCTGTGACTGTCCTTGAACAATCTTAGCTCTGTCACATTCTGCTTGTTTTTTTCCTTGTTATTGTTGTTTTGTTTTGTTTTTTTAGGTAGTTTTAAAATCACTGTGTAGTCCAGGCTGCTCTGGAACTCAGTGCAATCCTCCTGCCTCAGCCTCTGGGATTGCATTCTGGGCTTATATTGCCACCACATTGACAGCTCAGTCCCACTCTGCTGGTGGGTTAGCCTCTAGTAAACACAGTGCTACTTACATACAGATGATAAAGAAATGAACAGGGATCTGTGTCAGTCGTGCTAAGTGCTGTAAAAAGAAGCTGCAGAGTGAAAGGACCAAGCTTGGGGTAGTATCTCCCATGGGAGAGCACCTGCCATTAGGACAGGATTGCAGGTCTGGTGGGCATGTGGAAATGTCCCCCACAGAGCCACCAGCAGGGTTCTGGGTTGCACCAGCTGCGAGAGCCTGGCTCTTCCTCAGGAGGTCGTGGCTGCAGTGGGTTTTGGTATAGGAGGGCTGTGGTTTGCTCCCGCTTTAGAGCAGTTTGGCCAGTGTGTCGGTCCTTCCTGTAGAGGGTGCAGAGGCAGTGAGAACCCAGCCCTGGTGCTGGGGGTGGGGAAGGTGGCTGGTGTGGGGTCTTCCAAAGGTGTGGGGACAGCACCTGCTTATGGGTTGGAGCAAGACTCTGCAGCAAAGAGAGACTGTGGCCTAAGCAGCTGGAGGACGGAGACATCACTTACCGAAATGGGGATGATGGCGAGTGGGAACCAAGGGCCAGCGTTAGACACATGGAGTGCAGGTGTCCGGTAGGCACTGAGTGGAGAGCCAGCCTAGAAATCCCAGTGAATGGTTCAGTGAATGCCTCTGCGTTCGGGTCACAGTGGAGATGGAAAACTGTGCTGTGGGA